TTTTTACCACGAAAAACACGTTACTAGCGGCCAAAAGGAGCCTACGCACCGATACGAAGTTTGTACTCGGAGATCAGTAATCAGTGAATTTTCGGCAGCTATTAACAGATGCTGATTTGAAGCATTTATAATATCAATTCACTTAAGGATTCATTAGAACGTAAAACTAAATACTAAGCGCTACCATCAAGTCTGTTAGCGGGAGTAATTGTCCTACTTACGGGAGTAAATGAGCTTTTAACGAGACTGCCTGCTTCAGAAGAAGACTGTGCAGGATCGTCGAAAGTAGGGAATTCAGATCTTTCGACAGAAAACGTTTCGGCATACTCTTGCTTTTAGAATTAACCTTACTCGTATAACTATCTCATCGTGTATAATACGACTTAGCTCTAAGGTTGCCGATAAACCTGATATATCGTTTTTAGATCCAATCCTACAGCTATTTAGCATGGTTGTAGGTTGTAGGCCCATCCCAGCACGAACCGAAGTGCGCGTTCCCTGACAGGGGAGTGTCTTTTAGCTCATAGTCTAGGACTTTTTTTTAAGACACTGGAATAGCAAAAGAACACGGACGAAAAGCTGCCTAGTATCTTCGTTTTTTTTTTTCAGGTACAACGATAATACGACTCTTGTCTTGCCTCGCTTTTTATGAGTCTTCAAATCGTTCAGAGAAGGAAAACTTTTAGTCTTCGCACCGCGTCGATGAGTTAGGTGCTACTTCATTTTGACAGTAACCATTCGGGAACATAGCTCTGAACAAAGCAAACCTGTTCCCTTAGGCCCTTGAAATATCTGACATATCGTAGTTTGGGAATTTCCCATATCTGATAAACCGATATATATTTTCGTAGTGTAAAGCGGGACTCTGTTGGTTTAGAAGAGTAACTCGTTGGAAAACTTAATAGAAATTGTGCAATCCGAAAAGTATTTACAATTTTTCCTGTTAGATATTCTTAAAGTTACCTATTTTAGATAGTAGAAGTGACATCTACATAGGTGTCGTTTGACAACCGAAATTTAACAGTAGAAGGTAAACTATTGAAGGGTCGGAATGCCTTTATTGAGAAAAAAATTAGGAAGATGAGAAAAACAAAATATCTCTATAAGTCCATTGCGATAAAGGTACAATTCTTGCCCAGGTCCATACCAGATTTGTGCTATTTAGGGTCAATGTGTCGTCTTCCACCATAACTACATACGTCTACAGATAACCAAGAATACCTAGGAGAAATTATACGAAATTTCGATGCATCCACCGTATAGCCTGAATCTTGCGCCATAAGGTTCAATGCAGGGATACAAAAATCATTTATCACGATCTTCCACTCAGGAACCATAAAAGTTCTACAATCATGGGATTATTACTTGAAAAATGGAGGAGAATCACCTATCAAAATGGAGAATAATATTATTTAGAAAAATATTTGCCTTCATTCCGGTTTAAAAAGCGTCAACACTTTTTCAGCCTTCTAGTATATTTGTACAAAATTTCAAGCTTCTATCGTGTCGTTGTACGATCAAAGGCGAGCATAGATCTCCGCACTTTTACGTGCAGACTTACCTTAAAGTGGATTTTGATACAGGTAACTATACACTTGATGCGCTTCAACAGTTAAGTAAGTTTAGAACGAACTATTCATACTGAAAACGACAAGTTGCTAGAAACAGCTAGACAGCTAGGCCAAGCAATATTTTTTATGCAGCTATATGTTCGGATGATTCCATATGGAAAAATGGTTCGTGTTTTTCTCGTTGTATATATTTGCGTGACATCGGAATACTTCTCTGGAGACATTGATCATTTATGGAATTATAATGGCATCTTGCGTTAAAGACGACAAAGCGTAGAATATAAGCCTGCGCCGTTTGTTGTATAGAACCCTCAAGCTGTTATGTTCGAGACGGAATTTTAAAAAGATAAGGCAAACAATAGGACTACCCAATAACAAATGGGTCGCAGAGCGAGAGCAAAGGTGGCCTAGTCCCAGACAAGCAGAAGAACAGTAATTGAATAATTTTTTTTTCATCATAGGAATACTTTTTTTATCTTTGTTAAACTTTTAGTTATTACTGTTTATTGATAACTTATCAAAAATGCGAATATATCTCCCTTACGATACAAAAAAGCTCTTTTGTTACGGGTATTGATGAATGAATGAGTGTTTCTGCGTACGATGTCCGCATTCAGGTCCCCTGAAATTAATCAGTCCTTTGTCGTTTTGGTTCTTTAACATTATGCTTAATGACAATTCTTTTCACTCTTCCTTGGTAGTGCAGTGTTTTGGATGTATGGATAACAGGATTCAATTCTGTCTTCATTTGTCTATGATGGCTGCAGTATAGATAGGACTTTTATCCTTGGCGCAGGTTCAGTAACTTTCTTAGGGTGTGTGAGTATTTTTAATATGTGATGTTATCACAGTTGTAAATAGTGGTATTACCTTTTTTAACGGTGCGCTTGTGTGCTGAAGCACACCGAGTTCTGGGGTTGGAAGGTCGAAATGGGTGCTTTTCCAGTTGGCCTCTCCAGTTTTATGTAAGCGCGAATTGTATTTCGGCTCATAGCATTTTATCATATTACTAGGCTAAGCGCTTCTATTCGCTCACTGGGTTTTTTACGCCCTGTGGGTCGAATAGAATTCGCCACCTGTATTTTAGACTGATCTATTGTTCGCAGACCTGGGTCGAGACAGTGTTTGGATTTGTGGGCGCAGGCGTCGTGGAAAAAATCAATTGGAGGATGTAGTGGTATCCATTTTCAGCGCAATTTATGGACAGCTCTTGGATTTTGTTTGTGTGCCTTCAACACCAATTTGGGAAGTTGGGCGGGCCTTATTTTGCCTGTTTGCTAAATAGGCAAATCTTTGAGCGTCCGCATCAAGCATAGCACTTCGTTGCTGTGCTTTCTTTGCTGATATACTTTATAGCTGGAGGTATATTTCTGAGCTCGAGCTCAAATCCCGCTGTCCAAAGAATACTATGCTATAAGGCGACAAATGGTTTTCTCTCTTATTGGCTGGTCCCGATTACAGGCCGAAAAGGATAATGCCTCAGCTGTCTGCAGAAATAACAGGTCACGACTTTTTTAGGCCGGATGGATGGAAAATGCTTTTCCTATGTGAGAAATCACCGATGGCTTGTCATTTGATGCGCCGTGAAGCCGGCCTAGTCGCAGAGGTTCATGGCGATTGAGTAGCTTAGCTAACTATTTTGGGCCGCATTTATGTCTTTAAATCGAATACTATCAATAAAACCCGCGCTGGCATTCCTTGCGTGGTTTTAACGTCGGCAGATCGTACTTGCAGACACATGCCGCTATACCTTCCACTGCCCTTGTAGCAGTCAATAGTCGTCTCTCGTGGGACGCGCCGTCTGCAGTGACTATAGATAGATAGGCTTTTTGGGAATATAGCCTAGAAAAATTCAAGTCAACTCCGGGTAAGAAACTGCCTTCATCGCGGTGAGAAAATGGGTAATAAACAGCGATTTTCTTTGTATTTTTTGGGTGCTAACTAGAAATCCTTTAAACGCAAGTTTTACGCTCAGCTTGACTAGCAGTCATGGCTTGACCCTGACGGGTTCGCTGAGCGTTTCGTCAGCCTCCTTTAGCAGAAGAGGAGATTCCTCTAGCAAACTGGTTTTCCCGCACGGAAAACATTTGCACAGACTCACCTTAAGGGTTCCCGTCCGATTTCCAGATCGAATCAGACCCGTGTCTGTTTCTTCCAGATGTCGACGCGGCAGCGGTATGCAGAGCGCTCGTATTTCTTAGGCGTCCCTCCATCGGCCTCCGCCCAGGGCAATTGACCTCTAACCAGCTAAACGTTTGAACACCCCCATGACGATTTCATCTACACCATTTGCCATCCTATAATTTTCACAATGTCAAGTAGCACCGACTCGTGACGCTTTATAGTTAACAAAGAAGACCGTGACTTGTACAGTCGACGTGTATTTATTTCTTAGACATTGTATTACATACTTTAATTCATAGCAGCACGGCGTATTGCACGGGTCTCTCGTTTTATAGAACGAATAATCCCTTCTTTCTTTCAAAAAAAAAAAATAGAAAAAACTTCCTGCGCCTTGGCTAGCCATGACCGCTGGTCAGGCTGGCCGAAAAACTTGCGCATTTTTAGTTAGCACCCAAAAAATACGAAGGACAAGGCTTGGCCGGACGTATTGACGAGCGAATTATGTCATCGCTCGCAAAAAAATAACACTTTCTAGATAATAAAAACGTATATATGACAAATATAATAAATTGAGCACATTATTTAATATAACTTTCTATGCAAATAACAACTGGGGCATATCTCTCGTTATGTTTTTTGATTTTTATTATTCATTACTGTTTCATCAACTGTATTATGTCAAAAAGCCTATCGTCATACTGAATATGACGAAAGCCTTTTAATACATTATATATTTGGTTTGTGTAATTTGATTTGTTTACATAAAATTTACAGAGGACAATTAATTATCAGCGAGTTCCAATTCAGCCCAAATAATGTTCAAAAAATAACGTTGCATAACATTACATATCTTCAAAATGGCGTGTTTCTGCTCTCAAAGGGGCATGGAGCGGACAAAAGCTGTCGTCTGTATTTGCGTAAGTGTGCATGTTGACCTGTCGGGGGCATATTAGCTGGCTTGCCTCTTAGATCTGTTATTATATTTTAGACTTTTATTGTTTCGTTAGAACAACGAAACTGTCGGTAATTTTTAAGAAATCTGTTTTATTTATGACACACGCCATTTAATAAATAGAAATAGGAAAAAATCATGCTTGCTAATTAATTTTTAAGTGTATTTCCATTTTAGCTTTTCATAGTACCGATAAACTATCGATTATGAACAGAGGCAATATTTGTTTTGCGGAAAACAATAAATACTAAAACCCATAATATTATATTATTGTATTTTTTTATTAGTCATTTTGTCATCATTATTACCACATCGTCGTCATTATTGTTCTTATTATAATCCATTGTATAATCATTATTTTTACGCTTGTTACTGCTATTCGATCATGTATGTATATATATATATATATAGTTTTTGTTGCCTTATTGTTACCCTATTCGTATTACTAGAATTCTTGCTGTGCCGTCACTTATTTTCATCATCCTTACCTATATATATATATATCTATATAGCTTCCGCTTAGATTCTAGACGTTCTCACAGATTTCGATTGAGTGTGTGTGTGTGTGATTTTCCGAGTCCCCCTACGACCTCCTACTGCCTGCACATATCACCATTTTTTGATGCCATTCTCCATAGAAAATAAAAACGTAGGACAACACCAATAATACTAAACGAAGCAACACCTTGCACATTCTACAAACACTTACCTAGAATATATTATGTACGTAAGTGTCGTATACGGTAGAAATTGATCTATCGTAGTTGTATGGCCGTCCTCATTGGTGATATTAGTTTCGGTTTGCGTACCTGATCGCTGAAATTTATGCAAAGTTTACAATTACCAGAACACGGGTCCTAGCTAGATTTGTACGATTCAAAACCGCCTGATTATCTTATTATTATAATTGCTCGGCAGTGTTTTCCTTTAATCTGCTACATGCCTTAATGTTGTTATTGTATTGAAACTTGTTGATTGTTTTTTGTTGGCCTAATTCAATTGAGCATCGTCCGATGGCCAGCAAATAAATAGCCAGGGAACAGAGCCTAGAGCCCTGCTCGACTTGGTGTTCCCTCTAGAACATAAAGTAGAGGCTACTTGTATTTAGTATTCATTCAGAGACAGTAATATTCATTTTTATTGGACACCAAAGTGGTCTTTCGAATTCATTTTTTCTTTTCATTCATTACAAGTTTTCTATTCACTGTTGATCGTTGTTTGTATACAGATGCACTATATATGGTGTTTTCGCTACCTGCCCCTAAGGGTCAATGCTAATTAGCACAACGGACGTGTAAATTAGCCAAGACAAGTTTACAATTGTTCGGTACGATGACCCCTTTTTCCTGTGTCGTCAAAGTAAAGTTTTGATATAACAGACCTCCAACCTGCACCAGTGGCTGCCATGTTGTTAGAACCGATGTCTGTCTCGAATGTTGTCCTCAACTGGTTTTCTCATCCCATGGCAAGAGTATGACGCTTTCATCATTGTGCATCATTGCTGAGCAGGTCCAAATAGGACAAAATTACCTGTGGCATATTTGGTCGACATGGTACTTCGTAGGCACAAGCTTAGGAATCATTAAAAGCCTACGTACGCGAGTACCTTGCCGATACAACGATGCTGAAATTGAGCATCTGGGCAAGTGTCCGTACCAACAATCTCGCCTTTAGAAGATCACTGTTTTCAGTGCGCGACAAGCGGCATAAAACTCTTGTAGTTATCATTGTTAGTACTATGTAGCTATTGGCTGTATGTTGGAACGATCTTTCGATCTCGTAAGTAAACGCACTCGTTTTAAAGTAACAGAACGCTGAATTAGAAAGTATTTATTATTGCTCTTCAGTCTTTGGCTTTATCGGTGTGAGTCAACGTTATATTTTACCGAATGTAGGCACAAAATTGAGGAGTTGAGTTAATTATTTGTCCTATCCTTAGATTAGGCATCATCCACTGTTTGTTCCGAATTACACTAGGGTTTTCCAAATAAATAGTGTCGGAGCGTAGGCTGTACCGTTAATATTTCCAGCGGCTCCGTAGCAGAAATTGATCAAATCTGCATTTTAGAAATGTCTGCCACTAAATGGATATTTTGTTACAAAGGTCTATTTCGTTTTAAAAAAATTGTAAACTAAACGGAAAATAGCGGCTATACTCGTGAGAAAAAAACTGAAGTAAACGTCTCGGTACGAAATCCACAATAGCAACATAATCGTGCAATGCATAGGTATATAAGGTTCTGATTCTAATCCCTTCACAACTTCTAGGCGCATTACATACAGCCGTCGTGGCCACTTGTTATGCCACGCACTATATTAAAGTAAGTTAAAAAAATAACGATTTTATGAGTAGTTTGAAGCACTGGGAAAATGGGCAAACATGTTTGAGCGTGTACACTTGGGCATCACCACAATAGGAAACCGCTGGAGTGCTAAAAGCGTACGAAAATAACAGTACTGAAAGAGTATTATTGTTTGCTATTATAGCTTAACGTTTATACATCGAATAGTAGTATTTAGTAATAAAGTCAATGCGGTCAATTTTACACAAAGGGGCAAACCTAACCTTGCTAGCAGCCTTTGATAAAAGCCTCGGCGGCATATGAATTACGTAATTATGTCATTACCTGACCTGTTAAAATCGACTGGTGTGTCATGTGAAATCCATCAGCCAATGCATCGTAGGAGGCCATGGCGTTTTCCCAGTTCGCAGAGTGGAAAGCCTCTTTTATGCTGACCGGTTGAGAACGAGCGAAACAGGTAGAAACAGCGAGCCTATAATCCCATTAGAAATAATAATCCTCTATGGACAATAAAGTGGCCGACAAAATAAGAAGCAAGTGGGAACGTCGAACATGTGGAAGTGATCATAAGACGCTTCCAACTTCGGATACATGCTTGTACGCCTTCGTTCGTTTACACTTTTCAGGGTACCTATCCAATGCTACACGTAACATACTAACCCTTTTTAATGACAGACTACTGCTGCGCGAATAACCTATCTCCAGATTACCTTCACCAAATGTCCTTCAGTGCGATTTGAGATGAAGTCGGGTACGCATTTCCACGTAAGGTCTTGCGGCTTCGCAATAATAATAATGCTTAATATATTCTGCATATGTAAGGTTCGTTCGCTAGATCTAAATTCCGTTTTGAGGCTCGATTGGGCCTGGCTAGAATTAAAGAGCGTAAGCTTTCTTTTGGTTTGAGAAATATGGCTAGGGGAAAAATCAGTTCAGCTTTGCGAACGGCCATTTGAAAACAAAATAGTCACATCGCGTTATCTTTACTGAAAACAGACCTGTCGGCTTGACCGGTTTTTGTCCTGCCAGTTTAGATACAATGGCAAACAGCTTTGTGGCGAACAACGGTTTGCTAGAGACTGCTCAATGAGGTATCGATATGTTAAAGCCTGTCGACAATGTATACCATATAAAGAGTATATATTGTTTATATATGAATATCCTTTTTCTCTGCTGTTATTTTTTACTGTCGCCGTAACGTATCGTGAGCGATACGTAAAAAAAGGAATTGCGACGTAGGCCTACTAAATAGTCCTTGCTTTCTACATCTTTTTCGATACCTAAACCTTGGTATAACGTAACGTAGATAGCGTACCTCAATGTCAGTGACTTATAGAGACCCTGATAATTGTTCGTTTAACGTTGTTGCGGCACGTACGTGCGGCGACGCGCAAACATGGCTGTCCGCCAGGAGGTGCGCATGATTTTGCCAGATTGATTCTGTGGCCTGGTAGATGATCGTGATTTTCTCTACAATCAAATAGTTAATCAGAAGAGTCGTATGGCATTCAGAACCTTAATAATGTCTTTTAACTAGTATATATATATGTATATATCATTACAATCGTGAGCAGCAAGTATAAGCAGGGCCACCACTGCTAATCCGGGTGTTATTCTTTTGTTTTATTCAACTCGTAGGACACGGCCCTCGCACATTCGGGAGCTCAGCATATCCTGCTATGCAGTAAACAAGTATTTCCTTTTTACTACCTTGAGAATTCAATAATTGCCTCTCTATACGACAAGGTCCCATTGAGACTTCCATTGTTCTATGCAGGGCTGCAAATGTCTACGACTGTAACTCCACATCGTCAACTGACCTCTCTCCGTTTTGCTTCTGTGTTGTGGAAATTATCCAGGGAACGGGGCCTTTATCGTTACATACCCCAATAAGTATTCGTCATGTCGACTGTCGAATGCAAGCACTAGTGTCACCTGTTGTACTATAGAACACCGGGAACTTGAGGAATTGAAAGGAGGGGACGTAACTATGGTTGCTCGTAGCACTGTCTAATTATATTTATTACAATCACCACCATTTCCTGTCGTCCTGCATGACACTATGTGTGTGTCTACATATATATATATATATATATATATATATATATATATATATTTGAATAATGTAGTCAAACTAAAAGTATCATCACAGCAATGACGCCCATGATTTTCTTTTCCACTTGTATTTGAATCGATTGGGCGGTTTTGTTTTTATCTGTTGGGATGCATTCTGCCGCATCGTGTAGACAAATATTAATCGAAATGTTTGTATTCTATTCTACAAATGTTTCCTTCCGTCCGAATTATCGAAGCTATTTCCGGGTGCAGCACTCGTAGTAGTTGCGGGAAGCGGACTGTTATTATGGTTATCATTGATGTTCTATCGGTGGGCACATGTCATGGATTGGTCGCTATTTCATGAGGGAATGCGCACTAAATCCTAGCATATACTATTAGAGAAATTTGTTTTTCTCCGTCTTCCTCTCCCTTCTGACTTTGTTAGCTATATGTTCGACATGTGTACCGATCACCGATTAGATTGCCACGTTTGATACCTTTCAAGTGTTTTCACCGTAGCAATAATCATCGCGGGACACGTCGTTTCCTTATGTTTTCAAGAAGCTCGTTCATTACTTGCGAAAAAAAAAGGTGGATCTCGTCCCACGACCTTGAAACAGAAAAGAGTCACGGCATGGTCGTTCCGTTGAAAGATATCGTTCGTAGACCCACATCCTGGCCAATGATAATAGGGGTAGGTGTTATGGCATATGACGAATAGTTATGATGTGGCATTCGTTCCATTAAGTTGTTGGATTGAAGTTTAAGCAGCTGGCTTATTTTCATCTCCGTTATCGTCATATATGGGGTGCGGCTGCAGCCGGTACTTGCCTGAACGCGAAAAAAGCTTTGTTTTTTTGACGATTTTCGTTTAATCGTCTTCGCACATGCCCATCACACGCAAGCCCGGCACGTAGTGCTGGATTGGCGTACTGTTCGAGCACGCATAGAAGGTGATTGTTTCGAGGTATGCTACAAACTATACATCGGAGTTTCCAGAAGAAAGCCTGGCTAGCGGCCAGATGGGCTTCTTCCTTGGTTCGTATGTGAGTGGGATCGAAATTGAAGCAAACAGATCAAAGTAGCAATTCATAGCCGATCTATCTGAAATTGCAGGCTCAAATTCAGCTAGACTATACGGAGAGCATGGCGCGCCCCATATTTGATGTGAGGATTATTGCCGCAATATTACGACCTGTCGTAAGTAGACATTAAAGGTCTTTCAGACGATACAAGCTGTCAGCGGTAAGTGCTATACGCGAGCGCTTTAGCATACGAGGCGACTGTGATGTACGTGCTAGTGCCTGTATCGTCCTTTTGTCCAATATAGGTATTTATATATTTGCCAGTTAACGACGACGCTACGTCTGATCGTTGTAGATATTAATGTCGTGGTGGCGGCAGCGGTCTTGATTATCGTCTATTCGCGATCTTTGTTTTTGATCAGGCTGCCTTCTTTGTCCTTGTCTTTGTCCTTCGATTCCTTAGGCTCTTTTGACGGAGTGACTGACCAGCCTATACACATTTTGTCGAAGCCACAGGTCACGAGGTTCACTTTAGACTTGCAGTCCTCCGGCAGCCAGGCCGTGGCGCAAACCATCCGTCGGTGACCCTATAGCAGTACAGACATAAACACGCCAACGCACACAAATGTTGTCATTTCAATTATTATTGTTTTTATTAAGGGTAGGATAATAAAGCGGTACATGTAATTAGATAATCACATATCTATTCCTACTTTATACATGTTAGAATCTTACGTTCATAGCTGCAATGATATTAAATAATCTTAGTAAGCACCTGTTATCTAGCTATGCACACAAAGAGCTTTCAGTGCTGCCCGCACATATTACCATCCTCCGAAAAATCGGGTGCTTGTCGAAAGGTCGGTAAAAAGAAACCGCTATGACAAAGGAAATCAGTATTGCGTTTAATTCCGGCTACGGAACTTTCGGTAGCCTTTCGCTGATGAATCGACCTTTACCTGTGAAATGAAAGTATGTTGTATCCGGACAATAAGACGCAAATAGCAAGCCTTACTGTGCCTTCTATCTGGTTTACGCGAGCCTTTACTTACGATGCGGTTGTTTCGCGGCAATCTGGCTAGTCTTTGGCCGTTGAGGTCGTAGAGTCGAACGTGCCGATTGTCGTGAGGAATGGCGATCACGTTCGAGGATGACAATGAGAGTCGATTAACGGGCGAATCGAGACGTACCGCACTCAATGGACTTCGCATATTGCGGAGCTCCCACACCTGCTTTTCATCACCAGCACGATAAATCATTTGTTCCGTCGTGAGGGCATCGTGCATTATTACTTTCTATCATCGGAGAGGTTGTATGCATGGAAATTTTTAGCAACAGAGCGTCACTCAACTAAAGTGTCGCTTTTGAGAGAGCAACTATTTGAAAGTTTCCAGAAGGCAACTGTTTTGCGGAGGACATCAGTGATACGGAACGCTAGTATCGAGCAAGTACACAAACCTTTACTGTGCGGTCGTCGCTGCCTGAGACAACTCGATCACCTGCCGCCGTGAAAGCGACTGAACTTACAGACCTAAAATGGCGGACGCGTCAAGTAACATTAGTATCCTGTTTATTGATGTCTCTAAGCGTAGGAAACAACTAGATACTGCCTCAGCCTTATTAAATTTTTTTTTACTTTTGTACGACTTTTATTAGGCATATATACGCCACGCTAAGCTTTCTTGTGTGCTTTGTCTTGAGCTTATCTTTCCTTTGAGAGCCTATTGCCGATATACGTGTGACAAGTAGAAAATAGATAGGCCATAAGGTAAACGCCTTCTCACAGGTCACATCACTCACTCTGTATGTCCTTGGAAGACCGAAACCGAATGGATGGCCTCTCGAAAGTCCCATAAGCGGAAAGTCGTGTCCTTAGATGAGGTGACCACAAGTCGTTGTGACGGATGGGCAGCAAGATTGGTAAGTTCGAGATCGTGACCTATTAACTGTGTCACTAATTCACCTGTATTTACGTCGTAGACATTCGCTATGCGATCCCACGAGGCGGTGATAACCTGGCCAGTCAATGCATTGCGACAGCGATAACATAAAATCAACGAGTAAATAGGGACGGATCTCTATTGTGAAAGACATAACTAAAAATGTGTACATTTAGACAACTTTCTTCCTCTGATTTCTGTCTTGAAACGTTTCCTGCAACTAAAAGCCCATGATTGCCGTAGGAGAACGCAGTTCGACTTTCTGAGCTACTAGGCGTATCACTCTACGAGACAAAGCACCTCGGATAGCTCGATGTTGCTTGCTTATCACTATCTTTATGCTTTGAGTGATCGCTACGTCAGAACTGATATCGATTGATAACGAAACCGACTGGAAAATGAACATTTATTTTTTCTTGTAACAAACTAGATATTGTCACCTTGGGACCATGTCGCCAAGGTGACTATATCTAGTTTGTTAACCGACTGGTTAGATAGAACAACCCACCTGATCACTGTTTATAAGCCAGTCTGCAGCTACGACAGCTCCTTGATGACCAGTCAACTGTAAAACTGGCACACGGAGCACAGATGCCTCGGCGAGACCCGCATCGTTTTCGTCCCGCTCACCGCTATCGACCTCGTCCTCTGATGACTGCCCCTTCTAAAAGCGGCACCAACATTAACATATATGTATATATATATATGAGAGGCATTCACTTACAGAACCGAGAAATGATATCTACTACTTAAATAGTAGCGAAGGAAGGGCAGCGGATACTTCGCTGTTGCCGAACAAAAACCATCACTGAAGTTAATCATTGGGATGAACCGGCCTGAAAGCGTATATCTGTTTTAGTTGCTCCTTGTTGCTCTCCGCGCACTTGCCCCCTTATAGTGTTCACGTCAACCTGTTATTTATGTGAGATAGGAAAAGACAGATGTAGAGATACTTCTAAGTAGAATATTTGCGTCGCTCTTTAACCGAAGCGATAACACATCATTGCCACCACTGTTATATAAAATACAACTGACGTGAACCTTAGGCGACCTTTTTCCCATTGGATAGTGCTGAACGCTTTGTCTGTATACAGTTGCCCTCGTCTTTTTTTAGCCTTTTCTCAGATTTTCCCGCGTATGCAAATTTGTGGAATTGTTATTTCTAGATTTCTGGGCAGATCTATGCTTCCCATTATCAAAAGCTACTTTTCCTTTCCCCGTGTAACTCGTCACTCTACCAAAGCTTGTTAACGCCCATTAGAAACCAGAGGCCGAGACGAGTTTTCTAAATCTCACGGATGAGGCTAGCGCCTGCCTCCCTGCTTGACATAATTTGCTCGTATGTCGAGTCTCCTAATGGTGACCTTCACTATTTTTTTGTTTTTTCTCCTTTATTTTCTTCTCGTTGTTTTCTTTTGCTGCGATCTTTTCAGTTGTCAATCAGCGGCTGATAACGCGGAAGATTGGGGCACAGCACAGCGCTAGGGAAAATGGCATAAAAAGGGGCCAAAACGGCCGCATATGTGTCACCTATGCTTTGCCCGCGTATGGTACTGCCATTAACTTACATCATTTAGACAGACAATAACAGAAAGAAGCAATAGAAAGACGTGGTAGACCTTACTCTTAATTCTCTTCATTGAATCGCTTTGCCTGAATGACTCACTCTTACACAGGTACGGCAGCAGCAGTAATAATATACCAATCCGTTCGCATCCTGGTCATACCCGGACATTGCGTCCAATAAGCCTCCATTTTTTCACCACCAAGGGCTACATACCGACTCCATAACTCGAGCGAGCCTTCCGCAGTGCTTCCTCTCATACGTCCCTGCGCCCGCTTATTCAGACGGCCCCGTCCATTCAAATCTTTCTCAAAACTCCGCCTTCATTTCTACCGGACTCGTTCCCTAGTTCCTGAAACAAACTCCGCAGCCGAAATGGTGCAGAAGAGAATTGCCAGTGACTAGCATTCGGTGACCGATCGCCGAACCGATGGAAATGGAAACACTTGCACTATACTACCCTTCTCCTCTGACTGTATGCTTAAAGGCCTTCCAGAAGGCCGGATTACGGTAGGCTTCGTCGAACATGAACTGCTTCCCATGCTCCCGGATACTTCTGGTCGCCAAGAACGGAGAGGACTATAAAACTGCCGAATGCATCCGAGCAGACGGCGAAAGACAAACGAACCGAAGCAGAAAACGAAGTAGAGGTCGAAGGAAAATACAGAAACCTTATAAATTCTGCTGCTATAGCTACTTCCTAGTGGTCCGCTAGCAAGATATAAGTTGTATGCTCCTCTTCTTACCGTATGCCCCCCAACTAGCCAGTAGGGGGTATTGTAATCGTTCAACAACAAGAAACGGTAATTTGCCTTATATATCATGTTTCCAGTCGCTCAAACGTTATGATAAATGTTTACGCATGAGTGAAGTGAAGCATAGCAATAAAAACGCAGTGTAATGTAACAGGGATAAAGCTCAACGGTCACACGAGCATACCATAGGACACAGGACAGAGCATAGGTAGCTATGAGAATGAATTCAATAACAGACGTAGCCATTAACGGGCACACCTATTATTATAGGTGCGTCTGTTGATCGTAACTGTTGCACAAAGGAAACTACATTCTGAATATCCATATGAATACATAAATAGTCTATATTAGAACCGAAAGGAATCTCTATTCATGCTGGAATATTAAAATTAGGCTCTGTTAAAAGCAGAAAAATCGTACCTCTATTCCTCGAATAACTACATAAGGTTAGTGAACTGAAGCATCCAATTGAACCATCAAAAAAGGACACGTTTTGCAATGATTATGTGCACCAAGCTATTCATTAGGTAAATACATCGTATGTCTGAGCCACTCTAGAGATACAACGTACAAAGATAACTCTCTATAGATTTCAACAGAACAAATCGAACACCATATATATATATATATATATATATATATATATATACGTTATAGTTTTATTGAGTTGTTGTTTACAAAAACAAACACTTATATAAGCTAGATATATGGTTTTTGTGGCTGAAAAAGACGTAAGAAATTTTTCTTACAACAGAGTTTGATAACATGGGACAACAGAAAGTGACGGAGAAGCTACTGTTGCGTCTTTTATGACAGAAAGCTACCCTGTGCCAAGATGGTCGAGGGGTACAGGGATGGAGGTTTAGTGGCTACGAGGCCCAGCGCGCACGCTGTGCGGCTTTTCTTGTAGTAGTAAATCTCTCCAAGGAGACTTTAGTGCCGGAAATTGGCCAAAGACCAATAACGTACAGGTAGGCGAGCAGCATCGGTTAGCTCTAGAAAGTTAAGATCAACTAGTCTCTTTTTTTTTTTTGATTTGAGTTGGTCGGGACGACGCCTGAGTAGATGTACGTCGATCTAAGTTTTTAGTCGACAGACTTCTTTCAGGTACAGACATCACCAACCTAGAAGAACATAACACATATGTCAGATCTTATGTTGGACGGATTAGTAGATTTTTGGTGGGTGAGGAAGAGGTGGCCATCGAAACGAGCTCAGTTAACGATGGCGGACGTTGGCTTCATCGGAAGCGGCTGACTTCTACAACGGCTGTGGTCAATGAATCGTTAACCATATAGGGTCCAATTCGCAACATGTCACGAGCCTTGATGCATAACCACTAACCCTTAGTCATCGACTGATTATATTTTGGATAACGTTGTTACAGAACAGCCCGAAGCAACGGTAGTCGTAGTTCGTTTGTCAGGACCTCTCCTCCGTAGCAATTGTTCAGCAACGAAAAATGTGTTTTTGTAATGGTATTAGCAGTCGCCTTCTTCTAGCTACTGATAGATCAGTGGCTAGAAGAAGATAACAACAGATCCCTGTTTAATCCCAGACCTGAACTGTTCCCGACATTTAATTGAGATTATGAATGGCGGTAGACAGACAAATATCTAATAGTAAACGGTGGCTCGTGCCATGACAAATCGATCTGAGGTGAGCTTTCCTAGTCTTGCACCTAGCAGCCAGCATGAAAAAGAAAATATCCACCAAGTGGAATATGTAATTGCTCGAAACAAATGTCATCTCTTGGTAATATATTACTTGGCTGTTCTGTTAGCGTTACTAGAGGTCATACTTAGTACTATTTATTAATACTTTATATAAAATTATATTTATTTATAATTCATACCGGTTGCAGTTCGAAGACGGCGACGCTGGCGAGCGGATTCGTCCGCCAGATGTGAACTGTTTTATCACCGGATGCCGTAAGCATCAGCTGCTGCGAAGGGTGAAATCGCACTGAGTTAACGCTACCGGAATGGCCTGAATACTGCAGGACGCACACACCAGACTCTGCGTCCCACAAGCGCGCCGTGTGGTCTATAATTGATGACAATGGTTGAAAAAGAGAAACAACAAAGCTAGGACAGATCCTCAGGCGTTTTAGGGTAAAGGGTTGATCCTAGAAGTATCTTTCATAACATCTAACGCTCACACTCGTCTTTGACGGCCTTTGCCGCTTCACTGCTACAATTATAAGTGTATCATATAGGATACTGGAGCAAAGGTGAGTACGTTAAATGAGATCGTCGCTTATATATAGGAGCAGCTGGAATCACATGGGACAAAGACTATGTGTAACATCCTATTATTTCTACCAAATTGATTCAAATTTTCAGTATTTTTTCAGATGCACATCAGTCAGAAACTTAGTCCAACACGCACTGTCCCATTTTTAATTAATAATCTGAAATTTAAAAAAATTGGGCTATACGAAACAGCGAACGATAACGAAGCAAAATAACTACCTTGATTTTGTACGTTTTTTTTTTTACTCGACTCAAAGCTGCATTTTCAGAGAAGAATGCTGGGTAGAAGTTGATTATTCTGTGAGATTTTTTAGCCCTGTGTTTGTATTTCGTGAGTAAGCGATGCTGATTTTATAGCAAGATCAAAAACGAAACAATATTGAATTCAACTTAATAGGAAGGCGTCTGTAAGTAACTTAAGCAACGTTGTTTCGCATTGGCTGTTGTTAAAAACGTGTGACTTAACACATCATTGCACAGTACAATATTGTCGGTGCCATATGTACCATATTGCGGGACACTAGCCGCATCATGAATAAGAAGTAACCATAAAGATCTACTATGAAGTACGCCAGTTTTACAGACGTCAGTGCGTCCGCTTCATACTGCGTAATGGAACTTCATATAGATCCTAATCTTTGCCTTACCTAGCTTGATTATAAAACATCGTTTCCTGAGAAAAAGGTTTTTTTTTCTAGCCTTATTGGCCATACGGGGCAACGATATAGGTGCTCTCAAAGGACATTTCGTCAAAACGTTTTTCTCACTTCGGTCACATAATAGGAAAATATTTGTCTGTTGTTGATCGCTTGCTTTCAACGGTGTTGTTAGACAAATGTTGACGCATGTAGCCCGTACCCTTTCTCGTCTATAACTGATCTGTCTTTTTGCTACTTCTACGGTATAACTGAATATTGGCCCATTGCAGATATTGGTGTAGCTATGTTATGTTCTAGGCCAGTGTATTTGTAGGCTGCCTTTAGCCTAATCTGAAGGTGTAATAGGTTTGTAAATTGACATGTTGTATTTTGAACGTGCAGGCAGCTAGTACAAGACAAACTCAAGCAAAAACGTTAATTGGGAAAATTCCACATCCTCCATTTTCCACTGCCCTTCTCGAGGCGTGTTATTAAAAGAAAGAAAATATCATCTTTTGATCATATGAAACCTACTTTTCGGTAAAGGGCCTTAAAGAGCAAAAATTTATCAGAAAAAAATTCCAAATCGGCGAAGAGAACAGATACGGCGACTCATTGAGCGATTATAGGAAGCGGCCCCTCTCACCGTCTGAGACATCCTTAAACGTAATATTCTTTAAAAGACGATTGCTTCCATTTACAAAATCCAGTTTTCCTGTTTGGATATTGTGGCTCATAGAATTGAAATGAAGGCCACGATTTCAAAGAATCAGAATTTCCGTACTCAGTAGGAGACCGTTAGAAATACCATCAATGAACATTGTGAATTATTTAGCATTAGAGCTTAGGTTGGCAAACCGAAACCGCTAACGAAGCTCGAACCGTCTCAAGATATCTTTTCTAAACAATGTAATGCTCGCATGTTCCATATAGTTTCAAAGTAATGATGCTACGTTGATTATTAGTGGTCTCTTCCGCGCCACTCACATGCAAGCACAACGTCGCAAACGATGTCGAGAAGCAATTATCGTTTTACAACGATAAGGTACTTTTTGATTTTTTGTTTTTATCATTCAGAAACAGATCCTTGGTGAAAGCTCTCACGGCCGGTAGCGTTTGCCTCTGTCTGTACGCTTACGCGTTAACAAGCAGAACTAGGTTCGTGGCTTACTAGCCAGGTCGAAAGCTCGAAACGCTTTGCATAGAAGGGGCACAATGACAACGACCATAACATAGAAGACCGGCCAGCAACGACGGACGGCGCACACTGATTAAATCAACATGTGCGAGCATTTCAGTAGGTAGTACGTGGCACAGAGATGAAAATAGAACGTATCAAGCCAAGGAACTACTATGAACCAAGCCGCTTTGTCCGGTGATGGTTTTATGTAAATAATACCTGTCGGTACAAAGCGTCGCACCCCTTCCAACTGCGGGGAAACTACGCTCAGTGGCAAAGAACAGTGTCACTAAAACCGTATGTAAGGCCTCGCGGTTCGTTCCGCATACTCGTCAAACTATGCTCTATCTTCGTTCTTTTTATAAGGGCTGTTTTTCTTCAATCTGTAACTAGTTCCAAGAAAAAGCAGAAGTCTCTACAAGTTGAATCACGTTGGAGTATTATAATGAATCTTTGATGTTCTGCATATTATATATATATATCTAACCTGTGCGTATATATACAGACGAATCAATAAAAAAAAAAGGTACTATAACCGTATTTCGGTAGCTTAGAGTTATGTACATAATCTACGTAAATGTATACACGTAGATTAAGCTACTTTTTACAGCTGATGAATGTTTCACACCTGTTTAAATTTACCGAAAAAGCGAGTAAGTGCACACTTTTTAGCTCACCTGGTGCTATATATGCTATAGCACTATATATATATATATATATATATATATATATAGGCAAAACTTTAGAAGAATCCATTAACACCACAGCAACTAAATATTGAAGACCTTTTTTCGTATAGCAACCATACGGCATGAATTTGCTTATCTTGTTTTCCTTAAAGTTGTGCCTTACACAAAGGAACCACAATAACGTCAAGATTACGCAAGTTGATTGTTTTTTTTTCTTAATTAAAGTCATGTTTTAACCCACAGGGCCTTGAACTGAACGAAAAGCTTTCGTGCTTTTTATTTTCTGAATAAAAAATACTGTTTTTTTATTTCTGTGACAACAAATGATAGTATTTTGTATTCTCCTGTCATTGTTCAGAATTTTTTCATCGAATGATATATGCCGTTTTGTTATAATATAGCAGGTTTCGTCTTAAAATAGCTTTTTAATTATGTCTTGGATTCTCGATCCTTGTCGAAGGTAAGACGTGAAGACGTGGAAAAGGTGAAAAGCCGTCGGCGCAGGATTTGAAGAGCATGAAGAAGGGTGTAAGAAGACCTTCTGTGCCAAGTCCAGAAGGACAGCTTTGACGACATTTTTCCTACATAGTCCCACCAAACGGAAAGCATAAACTTTTTTGGATGAAAACCTACTTGACCCCACGACTTTGGCTTTTTTCCTGGAGTCAATCATTTCCATCTATAATTTAGGTAGACGTATAGAGGCTATGTCTCATCGCCAACGACAATTCGATGCAAAGATCGTAACCGCGTGATGCTCAATACCAAACCAGATGTTGAGATGTAGCGTAAAGCTGTAACTCCTTGCTGGTAGAGAGTTCATGAGGTGCCTAATATCCAAGTTTTTGTATAAACCCGGAGGCATGAAACGGCTAATCATGCTCGTATGGCTGCAGTCCATGTTTTAGGCCAATTTACAAGTTGTCTAGCTATTGTCTTCCTTTCGATGGTTGGCTTCAAATTCAGACGGTTAGCCAAAGCGGGAAGTTTCAAATACCGTTGTCGAACTCGGTAAGCCACTCTCTCTTAAATAGTCTTTCTAGCGACAGCATTGCTACCCTCTATCCAAGGCAAATGTTCTGGGCTGGTTTGGCAGTGTTTTGAGCTCGATGAACTGAATAATACATAAGATGTTGAAAGTTCCTTTTTTTCTACGTCGAACATCAATACTTTACAGTACAGTACCGTTATATAACGTTGATAAAGCAGAAAAAACCGTATATCATAAGTAAGGGTAAATGGTTTTCAAGTGTCGGAACTTTCTAACTTAATACTCTTCGTGTTCCGGTAATGAACAAACAGTCCAATAGGCTTACTTGACTCGTGCACTTAATTAAAGGAGCATTCTAAAGCCACGAACGTTGGTTTTTTTAGCGATGCATCAACGATACTTCGGCGGCGATCAAGTGGCAATATACATACCGAAAAAGCAGTTTGAAAATTTTTAAGTTTCTTTCCGGATATCCAAAACTGGAAGCGCATATTAATGCAAAAAAGACTAAGGTATTCACATATGTCGATATCTTCGTCATTCTAAACAACTTCCATTTGTACGGACACTGGTTGTACCCTACCTACGCCTTCATGGATAGTCCTGCCCGTAGACCATGGCCTATAGATACACAGCAATCTGTCGTTGGAAAACGTATTGATGTGACCTTCAGTTCTTTCAACACGTAACAGTTCGAGCGGCGAATGAGTAACAAGTATGCAACGAGTGTGTGAGCGTAAATAGGAACACTGTTTCAGCTTGGGATTAATACAAATCCGAAGTAGAAAAAGGCCGAACACGGAACGATTCGAACATTGCCGGTCTTTGGCTAGATTTCAATATTCGAATTCTACATCGAAGCCCTCTCCTCCCTGAAGTCCTTCACAGAAACATAGGACCGAGACATACTTTAGATTTGCAAAATAGTTCGCATGGTACTATATTTGCTTTTATTGCCACTCCTACCGCTGTTGCGAATGCCTGCGCTCTGCGATCGGTCCCTGCGGTGGTTTTTTTTTTTATATTTGGGATGAAAGGATTCTGAGAATGGTTGAATTAGACGCTCCGCTCTAAAGATACCTCTATTTCTTTTCGAATTACGCTTAAATGTAACTTTTGTTCTACTTCTATATATCTTTTTTTCTTCTATTTCTATATATCTGTATATACCTGATATACTCAATATTTCACAGTGGCACTGAATGTGGTCGTTGCCCTGAATTGCGACTGCCAAGTGCAAAATCGTCAGGGCGTCGACAATGCGGAAAAAATCAGGCTTTTTATTTTATTTTTGGAGAGTTCACTTATAAGGACCTTTTGAACAACTCAAGGAATTGGAATCATTCGATCATCTCAGCATAAATGTCCTAATGAGAGATAGCAGAAAATGAAATTGAGCTGCCAACCAAAATGTTACAATAACTAAGAAACGTTCAAGTAACTTATCTAGCTATTCACTGCCGTTTGCTTACTATGTTTACAAAACTATAGAATGATTTTACATAATCGACATTAGACTACACGGGGGCTATCGCGGTGGAGCAAGTTTTAGTTCGAACCCTGAAAGAGTCAAGTGTAAACAAGCATACCAGCACTGGCTGTTGCGACAACAGGCACGGTTGAATTAGGTGGTGCGCTGACCTCCCAAACCCCATCCCGATGGCCTGAATAGCACGCAATAGGGGCGCATGTCAGCGCGGACGTCTTGAAAGAGGACACGATCCGGGATGTAGAAGCTTTCAGCTTGTACGTTGTCTTGATCTTCTGGCTTAGGTGAGATCCGCCTCCTGAATAAGACCGAACAACGATAGGTAGGAACGAGAACAGACATATGTTGTATTAGAATCAGATTAGCTAATCGTAAGAAAAACGTGACATCTACATACGTACTGTTACCGGACGACACATAAAAAAGTGACGCAATAACGATGAGTTACATTCACGAGATAGACAGCATGTACAATAGCGACTAATTGAATCAATAGATCTACAGAGTTAGCTTGCTACAGCCGCTCCCTCCAAGGTTACGTCGCGGGCTGCGCGTTACATCAAGCCAAACCCCCATCTGGCTATCATTTTTCTGTTTGGAATTAAAGTTGCCGCCGATTCATGAATGTGAGTCCAACGTTTACCAATAGTCATCATCTACGCTTATTAGACTTTCAAAATACTCACTTTGGACATCATATCGAAACTTTCAAAGCTATGCTGCGTTCAATTTCTTTACGCTTTCGATACTTAAAGCCGAACTGTAGTTTTACACGAGATAGCTATTAAACAGTATGTAGCAATCGTAGATTCGATGAAAATCTAGTCTATCGATGATGAATATTGACCACTTCGATGTTTAATAGGTTAGGCTTAAATGTTTCCTTTACTTAATACAGTTGGTCATTTTAATTCTAGATCTAACCTAGCGGAATACCATAACAAAAGAAGCCAAATACTATTCATTATGCTATCGTTTCGTTGGGACTAGGTGACCCGAGCAATGTTTCTCGATGCAAAGTCGTGATCATTAATTGCACAGACATTGAAAACCTCAAACAATTTTGTTGCCTCTAGACTGGTAGGCCTCTCAGCTAGAAAGGTCCACTAGCTGGCCTAATGATATCCTATTATTAATCATGAATCGACAGTTAATCTCAAGCGAATTCTTTACGATTTTCATTATTTTATTGAAAATCTGTGTTTATCTGTATAACTGTATAACGTTACGATTTTATCTCGTCCCTTCCGGCTAACGAAAAGCATAATTTTTCTTTTGCTATTGTTTGAAGAGGCGTCCAGTAGACTACAAGACTAAGATATAGTGCAGATTACCAACGGCAAGCAGTTGCAATCGGCTAAGGTACAAAATCAGATTGTGGCTCATATCGCCGCCAGTGTGATAATATCCGTGTCACGTAACAAATTAGTTAAGAAAAACAATGGAGTTCCCTAATTATACACATCGCGAGTGTATATCCCTGTGTCCAACCAGATAATCAGTTTATAAATTTTGCTTTTAGTATGGCTGAAAGCCAAAGCTTACAAAATTTACGAGGCTTCACAGGAAATCACAATCAGTAACTGTTTTTCCTGACCAGCATTGAGGAAATAAGTTGCTTTACCGTTGTTTAAGTATTTTCATAAAGTACGTTTAACGTAAGTTAAGGATGATGTTAAGGACGAATCCGTATGCCTCGCTCTATGTAACATGGAACTACAATATTATACTTCGAATTATAATATTTTGAAGGATGGCCTTATTCTAATGTGATTGATTCTCCTAAGAGGGTGACTACTAATTACATCCGCTTGCCTGCTATTTTATACTGTGGGTGCATCGTGTAGTCGATGTACGACAGGTAGCCAGAACGAGCCTCGATAAACTAACGCGATATCATTCGGGAAACGCTGGCATTCAAGAAATTCAACGCCAAGACATATAAGTGGGCTCCTCCTTAAGGCCCACCGTTAACCTAACAACCTGCTTCAACTAAACAATAAGCCTTGTAAAAAGGAAGACTTAACAAAAGACTATGCACATACTGAAAGTCTTTTTGACGAGCATTTCATATAGAAACTTGTCCTTCTACGCACTAAAATGAAACTTCATACAACGCTTGTTGCTTTCACTAACTTGACCGTCTATATTAACTTCCACTATTGATAGTTTCCATTACAGATCCAAGACGATGTGTTGTTGTTTCACTGAGAAACCCGTATCCCAAGAAAGAAAATAGCCCACTGTATACCGTCGTATCTATATACGCGTAATTCATGTTTCTAGCTGCTTGTTCAGGCACGGTTATCCACCCGTATCGTTTACGCTATTCGCGTCTTGCAGTTTTATAGTTCAAGCTATATCTATCACTAGAAGGAAGTTACGCGAAGTGTCTGGCATTTGGCCAGTGCCACGATCCTTTTTCGTAAGCTAAGTCACAGCGGATATATGACAGCCACCGACTGTAACCATTATTCCTAGCCCTCGGCCCAACTGGTTTCAAGTACGACCCAGCACAAGTGAGAAAGTAGTGGCTTCTTTTCGTTCCGTATGCCTTTTTACTCCTATATCTAGGTCCTATTACACATATGAGCTCTGAGAACGTTCAACACAGAATGTCCTCATAATCATCCGTGAGCAGCCGAGGTCAAGCGCGGCACGCGCACATTAAAATGTCGCGGAGCTTGTGAGGTAGTGAGTGTTGAAAAGACACGTTTTGAAAAATGTTACGTGAAACTAAATCGAACTATCTGTGACCCTATTAGGAATGTTCGGGCGGCTCGAACTACGATTAGCAATCATTGTCGGACTTTAATCAACTCCAAGTAACAGTGATGAAAAAAGTTGACATGGTGTTTAATCCCTTCCGTTGATTTCCGTTGGGTTTAGCAAAATTCGGGTCAGAAGAAAATTCTGGTAACCTGAAGGCAAGGTGTGCCGCTAGCTGTACATCCCGAACACTTTGTCTCAGTGCCCTAAGCCCCTGGGACCCTCTGTTGTGAATCCATAACACGTAACAAAAGCTCTATTGACAACGCAAGGTAGAACTTATATTTTCGGTGACAAGCTCAGTAGCTTAAACAGCGAAAGCTTTCAAGTGTATTTTTTTTATATCTATGTGCTTTTTCTATGTCGATAATCGATGCACACACATCTCGATGTAGAACATGTGGGACCACTTTATAAAAGTTAGTCGTCACTTGTTATTCTTCGTCTAAAAAATAATCTTCCAATGACATACCCAACCCGTCCGTCAACCCAGAGGAGCTTCGCCCATAATTGGGTTCACTTTGCCCTGTACAGCCGGCCGATTTAAATTGGTGAGATTTTGGCATGCTATCCTTTATTTCATTCTATTTTATGCTATCCTTGCTAGGCGCGTCCTAATCAATACCATAAGCTGGTGAAATCGACGACCATCGGCCATCGGCGGAGTTTCCGGCGGAAGAAATTCCATACGCTGATATGGAAAATACATAATAGAGATTAAACTGAAAAGGCAAAAAGCTCGAAGTAACTGCAAAAGGTAGTTTCCATTAATCCCGGAATGTTTGTGCAGTTGTAAAGGGCTGTACCGACGAGAGTTCCCAAAGAATTACTAGCGTTATTTCACACATCATTCACTAAAATTAACTGTAAACTTAGAAAACTTATGGTTTGCGAGTGGTGCAAAGAGTTGGAGGATGGATCACCATTAAAGCGAGTTGCAGTTTCATCGAGCGAACGCGTAAATGAAGGAGGCTTCTGTCATTACATAAAAAAAATGTATAATCTAAGTCTCAGTTCTCATTTACGGTAGATATGTATGCTCATGAAGAAGCGACATCACTTAACAGAGATCGACACTTCGTTGGCACGTACATGGTGAACGCTGAAAATCGTTGCCTCATTTCTTTATACGTAACCTTCAAGCCTATAGAGCCACGAAGTATGATAATCCGATCAGTATTGTCTGGAAATACACGCTGATTTAGACTACGAACATTGACATATGCCACCACACATGCTCGAGATAATTTTTCCGTTGGCCGCATTTATCGTTTAACGCGTCTACTGATACGTGGTTTGTTAAAGATCCGCTAGTCGTATCAATGAACAGTTTTATGGCACTCAGGCGGTATCCTTTTTCTATTCATAAACAAGCAAGTTGTGCTCGAATGAGAAATTATGCGTCACTGGAAGGAAAGGAATAATGGCGAACAGAAGTCAAGGGACGTCCTTTTTGTAGAACCTTATAGGAACAGGGTCGCTAAACAAAGCCAAGAAAAGAACCCTTTTAAGTCAGTCTACTACGCCATCTTACCTACCCCAAAAGTAGCTAGCATTTATTTTCTTACGTGCCCCTTCTGCGCCTCACCCCCCCCCCCCCCGCCCCTTTATTTCCAGTCTGCACCTCAGTTTATGTTCGAATGTGTAGGCGAATAGGACAATAATGGTTGTCTTAATTACGCTCTGCTACGCTGGAGGCCCATGCCGACCGCCAGCAATTTGCCACCAGCCTGAGTGCTGCCTGCTTTGATACAAAGAATCTTTTGTCATGGGTTGCGAGAAAACATTCGCATTTTCATCCACTGAGCCAAGCACCTCTACCAGTAGGGACGGTGAGACAAGACGGATTTAAGGTTAAGTCAATAACGGCGGTTTCGAAGCCGAGAAGAATCAACAGCAACAGCAAAACTAACAATGGCACAAGGCAGCACAACAATCCGCACTTGCTAGAATAGGTAAATAGCTATCTGGGTAGTCCTTCGTCCTGGTGCGCTGTTTCTATTGGGAATGTATCATAGCTTCCGTACGATGGATGCATTTATTAGCAGTATGTTTACGATAACGAATGGTAACGAACGCCAACGAAACGAGGCGTGCAGGTTGTAGCAGTCGTCCATACGAAGGCAAGATAAAAGCAGAAAAAGATTAATGTTACGTTTGTCCTATCAGCTACGTTTCGCTATCCAGTAGCGGCAATGATGTTGGTTAAACCTTCCACTGATACAGCCACTATTTTGCAGACGACTTCCTCACCCTTCCCTCAGGGGGTTCATCCCAGACCGGAATCCACAGCCCCTCGTTGCCCCGTCGACCGGCTGCATGCTCACCTACGGCCCGCTGTAACTTTAGTGAATAGTTGGTCAGAATCAACCAGGCGAAACTTACAGAGCGGTCCTTTCCTGGCGATGTTCTGTGTTATGGCGCAATCCACAGCTAGTTTCACCAAATAACCGCAGCTGCACCTACTGCCGAAACCCCTAAGACATTAACCACAGACCGACGCCGTGTATTACGTCGCAGAAACAACCAGGATTCTCTGGTTTTCCATAGCTAGGCGAGGGCAAACAGTGCCGTCGCAAACGCCGCTTTTACCACCGCCGTCGCCGCCGGATTAGCCAACCATTTATAGTAACTAAACTTCTAATATACAGAAAGGTCGGGGTCGTCGCGCCTTCTTCAATGACAAGAGTCAGGTACATAGGACACGACAAGCTACGATAACGACAACTGCTGCTACTGCCACCAGAATCGATATCTTCCACTTTCGCCGCTGGCGTTTACGTCAGATTGGGGTTTAACTACAGATATTTTGCTCCTGTTCGACCAGCCAAGAAGACCATAACAGGCCGACTACGATGAACCAGTGAAGCTGTAGTCGATAACAAGTCCCTAATCTTATCACTGGGAGCTGACCAGTGATTATGAGATTAACTGTATAAGAGGTCTTTACCTAATCTGGACAAAGGTGGAAGACTTCATGATGCACAACAAGAACGAACCGCTATTTGTGTGTCTATAATAGCTGATGCGGTGCAAAGGTGCATCTTTGCTGAAGGTTAACAAAGGCGGAACAGGCAGATCAAGTAGACCCTTTTGAAGTACTGCAATTTTATAAATACTTGATACAGGGCAACCTAACCTGTTAAAGGCAGCATATTTCATTGTAATCCACGCTGGCACTACTCATTATCGCATGAGATACATTTAATCATATCCACTGAGGTCCAGCCAAACTCAATTAAAAGAACTAGATATTTTCTAAAGTAGATACTGTCTTCAAAGCAAAGGCTTCATTAACATTAGACACATCGATGCTTAACTCGGCGTTTTCAGTCTTGCAATTGTGTGTAAATGCAACTATACAATGCCTGGAGTAAACTAAATGCAAAACAAGATAAATATTTGAACAATGTTGTTTTTTTTTGCTTTAAACAGAGCTTCTTAGTAACTACGAGAGATTGCCATATCACAGTTAACATGAAATAAACAAAACAATATAGGTGCTGCTTGTAATACAGGAATGGTGAGGCTCATTAATAGCATTTTCACTTCATATATTAAACAGTTATGAAGAAGATGTTGTTTAATGCCTTTATTTATCTTCTCCTATCGCTAACCATATTGCAAGGCCTGCCGCAGGGTAAACTTTTAATCAACCGGACGTTTGCGGTCCTATTGCTAATTTGATGAATATATGTATAATTTTTTGTTATTTTCAATATTAATCCAAGCATACGCTGGCACATTGGTTTCTTCGTTTGTGCTGAGTTCAGTGCGCTGCTACAAAGTATATCGAACAGAGAATATGGCTATGGAATTACAAGATCTGCAATCCCAGAAAAGTAAAACTTTTCTTTTTTATATTCCTTAACCCTGCTCACCCTGCCCTGTCCTAAATATGACCTATCTAAAAAAAAAGCAACTTACTCGATGCGAACTTGGCAGAATTGTTAGCTGATGCCCTTTTTGGCATTCGTTGTACAATTGTCCTATTAATAAGTAAACGTTTTCCAAAATTTCCGCAAACATTGAACGCAGTTTCCGGTCTAACATCATTTCTATGTTTTTCCATTAGGAACAAGTCGAGGATATCGCGCGGGAGATCATTTTCAACCTAAGGTACAGCACAAGAGCTTAGAATGTATACAGAAAATGGAATACATTTAGAACTCACCTTGCTTGGTTTTGCTATTGCTGCTGCCTTTTGTTGACTGGGTCTGGCCATCAACGGTTTCGACGGAGTCCTGGGCAAGTTGCTGTAACGACCGCAGATGACGATCTGCACTACTTGCCGGCCCTGATAAAGGACCTCCACGTTCCATCAACAGCTGCTCGCTTAACATTTCCACCTTGTCTCGTACTATAACGCAGAGATAAGCCCACAGCCCACAACAGAGGCAGGAACCGCACATAGCATAATGAGAATACGTTAGCATATATACGTTATATAGAAGAGGTTAGCAAATAGAGGTACTTGCCACAAATACTCTTTTTATAGGAGCATAAATTGCTCATTGTGAGTCTACTAACATGGTTGCACGCTAAGGAACACGCAAAGAGCTGGACATTACTGCACTGCGAGAACACAAAAGAAACTCGGTTGATTTTACGATGCAAAGTTTTTCGAGGGCTGGGAAGCACGAAACGGTACGACTGGGTCATTACGTCACTCATTTTTTTAACATCAGCAACAGTTTCATGTTCAGGCCAAAATCAGCTGAGGTTCACCGCTGTATATGCGTGTTCAATAGTGAGCCGCGCAGCAATCTAGGTTCGTCCGGGTAATGTTCTTCTCTAATTCTAACGTACGTCCTTTGAAAGCTGACCGTATAACAGATTCAATAATAAACAAATTTTACCGTTAGGCTAACTGATCATTAGATGTACTGTGTTGCTGTCCACAAGGCCTGAGATAGTTTATTACATCTTGTCAAGCGCACTGATACCTATCCGATATTTAGCTTGTTACTAATGCCAATACAATGTCTAATCGAAAACCACCCCCTCCTGCCGATGATCGACTCTGGGAGGTTGAGCCCGTTGATTTTGTGTTGGCCCAGCGTGAAGCCACGCTACGTCACGCTATCCAATTCCAATACAGCTTAGCCAACTGTGGCCCCTCAACACTTATCATTGAAGGCAACCACCCCTGTATAAAATAATAGGTTCATAACGTTCCTCATTTTTTTGATCAGATGGAAACATCGTCGCGCAATGAATCAGCTGTTGTATTATAATCGATTTCCTAACATCGTCTTGTCTTGAAACCAGTTGTCATCATACTCTTATAAGATAGCCCTAAAGCTGCGACTTAGAATTAGGTTGGTTTGCGAACGACGCTAATTCTATACGCGGGATTTCCCTCCAAGGGTGTTCCCGTGTGTCAATGCGCGACTGGCCTCGACATCCTGAAGAACCTCGTCATGATCCCAAATACTTAGGTAGTCGCACAGTTTCTACGCAGACATTCTAGCAGACAGAACTCGACTTCTGCCACTAGCAAACAGAAACGAGATTTCTGTCTATGAAATACTCTCGAAAAATCGAGAATTGCTCTAGACCTTCATGGAAAATGGATCGATCTCCGAATTACGTAAGGTTCGCCGTATGGCAACCGGAACTAGAAAGATATTGTAGAGCAAATAAGGCTTTGATAAGCCATTGTCCCGACCAACAGACTTTTATCTGTGCACTCGTGTAAATCGTACGTCGATCAAAATGGTTCCCAATATTTTGGTTCTTCACACTCTTGTACCATTCACGATCAGAACTTTGCCTTCCTGCCCAGACCAGTTACCGTAGTTACATCTGACTGCGCTGCTCTACGATATCAATGCGTGGGATCCGAGCTTTATGCTCCTCGTCAAGGATCAAAGCCCATAGCGTGTGCAACAACACCGAGCTATGGGTTTTAACGGTTCGAAGAAGGCAGATGCGCTATATGCCGTATATAAATTTAAAATGGATAGAAAACAAATAGACCTGCTAGTAAACCTCTTCATAACCATAACGCTCAGCACGAAATTATTACTATTTATGAATATATACCAGAAAAATGTGTCTATATCAATATGGTTGTTTCTAGTCTGCATTGTCTGCACACTGCAGGACAGTCATAACCACAGGATTTCCCCATCCCGTATCTATAACAAGCCGGTCTAGTCATAATTTAAGCACGGATACATTTCAACAACGCAACCAAAGACAGAGAGGCACGCATTAAATAATTAACATCGTGTAACATTCGTTATATCAATAACAACGTGTATAATATAATAATAGGTGATCCGTTTATTAAGGCTTAAACTCGTAAGTGCTGACCGGGTCCATGAAAAGAGTAATGCTCTTTATGCTGAAAATGGGTTACCGAAAGGGACGACTAAAAGATAGTTCGCTTACTGAATTTTCATATGAAACAAATTACCTAATAACCTAACTTAGAAATATATTCCTTGGGGTGATGGACCAATGATGAAAAAAAAAGTTAGTGAAGTTATAACGAAATTTAAGTAAAAGAAACACGTGAGTAGCCGTCATTTCGCCAAAAATAATCCTAAACACGCACCTCTAGTTTTAAACCATTTGAAGAAAGCTGGCTAAAAAAAAAAAAAAAAAAAGCAAATTTTTGGGTGTTATACGAATTGACGCAAGATAACTTATTTGATTGTATTTGCATCTGCAAAGCTTCACAGAAACACCACGAAGTTGAGCTGTTTCTGAAGCGACTGATAGAAAGTAAATTAAAAAAGAATAAAAAAAAAGTGCAATGTGAGGCTAAGGCCAGATTGACGCCCAAAAAGCTCACGCTATATGTTTAGGGAGGGGCTCGGGGGAGGCAGGAAGGGATCGTGGAAATGCTTAATTGATAACTAACACAATATTAGAACAGGCCATTGAAAAAAATTTACCGAAACTAGTAAAAAAAGAAGGCGTCGTTTTCCACCATAACAATATCGGGCCGTACACATCTTTAGTTAAACGGCAAAAATTGACGGAGTTCAATGGGAAATTTGAATGTATCCTCCCACTATCAGACTACTATCTGTTTCAATCTCTTCAAAATTTCTTATAAAAGCTAATTTTGATTTCGATCATAAAAAAATATGTACTTCAATTTTTAGCTGAAAAACAGTTAATACTTTTAAATAATACAGATCTCACGTCGAAAAGTTTCAGAGTTTAATAAAAAATTAAATAAAGTTCTATGCTTTATTTCTTTTTGTTTAGGTACCGTTTTCGGTTCAAATGCTTTAAAAGATCCTGTTTAACGCGTCAGCCATTCTGCCATCCCCGTAAGTACGGGCTGGACTTGTTACTTTGGGTACGTGTCTCGTTCACCCCCATTTTAGATTTTTTCCCCACTCCCATCAAATTTTTCCATCCGACGAAAGGAGTACGGGGAAAACACAGGACCACTGGTGCCTTTCTAAGCTCTCTTGTGACGGTCACAGTGCCCTGCTTGGAAGTCGCCCTGTGTAGCGCGGAACGGGATCCTCTCTACAAAGGTTTTAACAGTGTGTTTCGCTTTAATGATTTTGAAACCACAGGGTCCTCAAGGCTCCTCTGCGACGGAAAAAAGGATCCTTTATTCACTTAGTCATTAAGTAATATTAAGGCAGCAAATAGCCTTCTTGTATCTCTGTTAACCGGGCCTCTATCCGGGCCGACAGAAATGTTGATCCGTGTAGTATGGTAATATGTAGACATGTGCATTACGTCGGATTTTCGAGAGTTCGGTTTGACAACTTCAGGACATACAACGTTAGGTTGGATGACACCTGTGAGCTGCCACGCGGAGGAGAAGTTTTCGACATTTAAATACGTCCGGTAACTCCATGAAGTTTTTGCAATGAGGATTACTACAAATGCTTCTATCCTGACCTGGAATGGCCAAGTCAGTTTATACTGCAGGTTGGAAATCGCTAGAAATGATTGCGGACTTCTAATCGTTTCGAGGTAACTTTTTATAAAGAGTTAATTCAGCCGTTGGAAGGGACGATCAAAAAAATAGAGTACACACCTAAATAACAGCAGGTAGTTACTCAGTTGTAGTTCTTAAAGTGATTAAGCTCCCTGGGTCTTCTCTTATTATTTACCGTGGGGAGACAAGCTCTGACATGTAGACGTACCCAACAACAGCGTCTTTTTTATATCTTTGGGAGACGGTCTGCTTTTGCATGCTCTTGAACCAAAAACAATGTTCTACATTCTTGTAATCCTTCAATTGATGCGTGCGTTGCCTCTGGTACGCTCACTTTAAGACAAAGTTGAAACTAGCCAAACAATCGAAATAGAAAGACATGCTTGATTTAATTAGACTAAGCAACCCAGGTCATCACAACGGTAATTTTTTCCCCATTATTGTTCACACAGATTTATGGAGTCGGTTCGTCATTGACACAAAGCTCTAAATAAAAGTCACAAGAGTTCTAGTGTAAAAAACAAGCCCTCTCTAAATGCGCCCTCCTCCTTCCGATACCAATGAATAGTACCAATATTCATTGGGGTAAAAGAAAACGGAATTACTAAATAATAGTTAGCCTTTCATACGGAGGTAGCTAGTGCCACTGTACCTCATCGTCCATAAACCATCGCAGCTATAGCTCACTATTGAGCCACACTCATTGTATGGCAAGAAAGCTAGCGGCAAACTGGCGACTTCGTGTAAGCCGGCACGGACAAATCAGTGACCGACTTTGACAGGGAAAAACAACGATACGAAACATTACGCGGTCTGCCATTCAACTTCAAGCAAAGGCGGTTGTAGTGAGTACATATAGTATTATTTGATACTAAAAAAAAAAAGCCAGTTCTCATTGTAATTGAAGGGCAAACTCACTATGATGACAAATATTCGTTGTTTTTATAATTTCTTTGTGCGCTAATAAGCAAACGATGCAACATCAAATAAAAATCAGCTCCAGACGGCCGTCATAAGTAATAACAATATATATATATATATATATATAATTTTTGTAAGCTCTAATTTATTCGATAATCACCGAAATGCTTCTCACAATTTTCACAAAGCCGGGTATTAAAAAACAACCCATTCTTGAAAATTCTGAAGAAAAATATTGCAACGAACGAACAGTGTACCCCATTTGTTGCAGACTTTACGTGCAATATTCTGTGAATTTCGCCATACTCTACAAATGATCAGTTCTGCCAATAGTCTACACACTTTTTTAGATATCAACTGGCACCTGTAGCTAGCAATATTTCTATCTATAGAACATCTGATAATGGATATTCGGATCATTGGATATATTATAAAACGTGAAGAAATTTATGGGAAAAATGTACCATTTTCACGTCACTACTGCATAAATGTCCCATAAGGACGACGACGGCCACCTCAATTATATAGATAATTCGCAATCATTTTCCAAAGACGATTTGGGTTTTGCCGATGGAAACAATTATGGCTGGCAAAGGAAGAGCTCCGCTTGCTCCGACGGCCAGGAGTGAGCGTAAACAAGTAGCAATGAACCTTTGTGAGTCCGCACGCGATTGTGAGTCATTTAAAATCAGAATGAACAAAGGGACGGAACAAGAAAAGAAAAAAAAACAGTACTTTAAAATTGCCTTACAAATATCCATCTTTATGCCACTAAAGTACATCATAACACCGCGCTGCGTCATACCTTAAGTGTTTTACATTCGGTACTTCATTAGCTAGTTTAAAATGGCGTAGTCTGAAAAACTGATGCGCATCTCTGAGTGCGCGGTCATCGTCATAATCGTAACTGAAAAACGTGCCGCCACGCTAGTTCAAATCTCAACGTTCGCAAGAATTATTAGCAGTAATTAATTAAGAGTCGGGAACAGAGGATATAAAAAATCATAAGAAATCAAGGAGATTCAACAATCGCTTGTATCGTTGGCACGCCGTTTCAGATATCTGGTAAAAATCGCATGATACGTCTTACGCAACTCACCCCGGCTATACTCCTAACAAAGTTAAGTTCTTGGGGCGATACTTGAAAGGAAGGGATTTCGAAAACTTGTTCACGAGAACTAGAAGTACTGAATAAAAATATAATTGCTGCATCAAACTTTTCCAACACGAAGCAAGTTTGCCATCTGATGATTCCAACTTATAGCTGCACATAGGTCATCGATGGTAACACAGAGGTAGTGCAAAATCTGGAATGATGATCTCACAGGACGGGAATTAAAGGGCAATTATACTGCTGTACCGACCGCTGCGGCCACAGCGAGTCATTTTTACATCCAGTAACATTATATACTTATCAGACAAAAATAATTATACATAATGTAATAAAGCAAATTCCAATGTTTGCGAAGGGTTTATAAAGACCTATAAGGAAACATATATGATGTTACTTACACGCTACGTTCTCCACACACAGATTTTCGAACTCTTTCTCAATCGAGCCGAACAATTCGTAAAGTCGCCGTCTGAAAAAGAAAAAGACGGAACGAACGTGTTACCAGGGGCATCTAAATGCAAAAAAGATAAAACAGGTAAAGAGAGAATGGTATAGAGAAAGCGAGAGAGATAGAGAAGGACAAACTTCTGAAAATACATCGATCGTTCCTAGGAACTGTGGTTTGCGCACGAGACCAAGTAGTTTCTTCAGCCGCCCCCGCTTCCATCATTATCACCACGACAACCTCGACCGCCGCATTGTGGTATTTTCTCCGTTGTCCTTTTTTTAATGACTCGGCTTCCATGTGTGTTCTTTAGAAACCATCCTCCACCATTAGCATTAGCTTCCAGTCGATAACCCCGGGAGGCTACGAACCCACCACTCAGGAAGCTCGTAATGCATGGGGCACCCCATTCAATACTGCCCTCTAACGCTAGCGTTACGGCACTCTGGATGTCGGGAAAAACCATCTAGGCAAAAGTTTCGACATGTTTTCTTCTATAGTAGACGATAGGCTCCCACTGTTAATACTACTGTTGCCGCTACAACAAAAACAGTACTGTAATCCTTGTGTTTTCGAAAGCACGTCGTCCTTGTCGTCGGTACCGAGGCCCGATTTAGAGCGACGACCCTTGCACACGTGAGAGCCATCAATGGCGGACTGCCATTCTCCCCACCTCCATTGGTATGTAAAGCCAAACGGTTAGTAGGTTTTTCGCCTAGACCTTATCTACTATTGGCTCCGCTGTATGTCATTCCGCCGGCAGGCTCACGTCCGCCACGAAGGGTTCTTTTGACGGCGCAGTCGCAGACGAGCCACCGTAGCACGCTTAACGGCATCATCCATCGTAGCGCGCGTCCCTCATTCCTGCTTGTTTGCCTGCCCTAACCCTGCTAAACCTACGCCAGGCCACACGTTGTTGTAAGTAGAGCACCATGTCGTGACGTGCGTGCCCGATAGCACCGACGTCACAAGCGGTCCTGATAGCGCAGGGCCGAGGACAGGGTATAGCAGGTATAATAACCCAGGTACTGAGGCTTACATTCGTTTCAATCAACGTTCAGTTAGAGCCTCCCTGACGGCTAGACGGCGGCAAACTCGAGCGACAGCCGACAGTGAGACACGGGAGTATGGCGTGCCCTAACACCGCTGACAGGCAAGCGGTATAGCAGCTCACTAACTGCTATAGAATTCAACAAATTGATTTTTAAGGCAATATTGTCTCAGTTTGAAGTGACGTCGTCGTATATCGGCAAAATGGGTGCGTAGTAACATCAAGTCAAAAGAAATATAAATCATGGGCTGTGCATTTATTAAGTGTGCATACGCTTGCTCTGGCTAGACGCAGTAGCCACAAATGGGTCGACAAAAAAATTACCTAGGCCCGGTAGTAAGGAAATATAGTCGTATGCGTTGCGGTTCGTTCTACGAACTCGGAGCCAAACAGCTGCAGCTACTTAGATCTAAGAATTTCTATAAGCTCTATAGGCTATGGCAATTTAGAATCCATCAGTACAAAACAGATAAATGACACAAATGTTTTATCTTGTCAGTAATCAGAGCTAGCTAATATTAACAAAAAAGTAAATAATTTCATGCGATGCTGGGAACACAAACGTATAATATAACACAAAAAAATAAAACAACGCTTCAGGCAAAGTTCTTGCATTCTCTAATTGTAAAAGCAAGTTTCTCTTTAAATAAATCGGTTGCTACTTGCATGTCGCCTGTTTTCATCAAATTTGTAGCCATTGTCAGATATAACTGAAGACGTTTAGGTGCTGCTAAAAACGTCAACCTGCACCTATTGTAGAACAAAAAATTGTACCCTATTAGGAACAAGTTTGAGCAATTGTTTGAGCCAAAAATCAACCTTCTAAGTAGACGAACCACAAGTCTATTAATCTTCAAAGTTCATTCTAATTGGAAGTCGCCTTTCGACGTCTATCATGCGTGTTATCTGTTTGAGTTTTTTTGAAAAGAGTGGATGGTGTCTGGCAGAGTTTTTCGGACTAGTCAAATCCACCAGAATGCAAAATAAGAAAATGACAGTATATGATCTATATTGCAACTAACGCTATCTTCCACTCAATTTAGTCAGCGACAAGGGCACAGATTCAGAGAAGTTAAGCTGCAGCAGACACATTAGCGTTAGTAGCCTTATTGGCACTTCATTTTGCCAGTACTGCTGATTTTATCATCAAACACATAGAGGAATAAGCGCAAGCCATTGGCAAGCAATCAGCTCGTGAACTAGTCTTAATTTGTGATAGTCACGCGTAGAACTTGCTTGTTGCTGAACGCTGCACCGTGTAGTTAGGCCGTCGTCATTTCTCCAGGTAGGACGTGCGTGTACTTTTATATGCACATATAGATATATGTGCATAAAGCTCCTCGTCTTATATGGCTCTTATAAGCTCATCATCTTATATCTAAAGAAGCCGAAATCCAGCAGCAGACTTTTATAGTCCCACAACGAATCTAGCATAAACATCATAACAATCTTTTTCCTCTCAGTCGATCCAGCAGTATGGGACTCTAGGGGCTGCTACTTTATACCTAAAGCGCATCGCGTCTGGTATAGGTAGGCCCACAATCCAACGAGTTCTTTCTAGACTCTTTTTCTCATTCTAAATACAGTCAGGGAGTGTCCTAGCTCCATCACGCCCTTGGGAATGGATAGATACGTGACCAGACCCTTCTCCAATACAAATTTTAGACTTTGAATCAACGAAACGGTGCTCCATCCAACCCATACGACTGTGGTAACTGGGGTTACATTGAAAGGCCAGATTAAGTTTGTCATGAAACTTCCTCAGACCGATACATTCCATTAGTGATTCCCCGAAAGACGGCCACTTTGACATCCCGACTCACTAGCAATCTCATACAGACCCTTCGACATCAGCTGATCTGCACTGATCGCTTTGTTATTTTATCAACATATTTTGTTACTGTAAATGGAAGTGTTAATAATGCTGGTCTACAACATCGTTGCTCTATTGTTTCCCGTTCTATATACGAACAAACAAATCCACCCTTGCCGTCCCACGACGGATCCATATTTAGTCCCGGTTCTGTTAGGCATGGCAAGAAAGCTAGGTGTAATCAGGCATTTGGCTGCAGTTTTCAGCCACGTACAATGGGGATGCGTAAGAACAGCCCAGTACGCATGTACGTTCATCGTCTGAGTTACTCAGAAAGAGAAAGAGGGAGAGCGAACAGATTGGAATGAAAGGTGCCTAGATTGGCAACGCAAATGGCAATGTATGGCCATCGAATCTGGGAATCTTTCGATTCAGGTGGGGTAGGAGTAGAGGTGACGTCTTCATCTCTCTCAAAGGCGCTCTTCATCCAGATAGCAGTTGACAGTGACGAGCAGACTGAGCTGCCTCCAGGAGCATATACCTAAAAGACCGAGAACCGGAAACTAGCGATAAGAGACCTCCCGAATCTAACCCATGGAGGTAAATGTCCGAGATCACTATCTTTTCGTTAGACTCGTTCGTGCAGAACTACGCTGCTGCTAGTGCTCGCGGGCGTCCAATATATACATTGTGTCTGGTAGCCAGAGGGATGCATCGGCCAACCAGCAGGACTCGCACGTTCGTCCACGTTTGCCTGTCACCCGCCACTATGCATCATAACCCCATGTTAGCCATTAATGAGACCTTATTCGTTGTTCGAACGGATCTCGCTCTCCATGCCCGGGTTACGAGGCAGTGGTATAGCGTCAGTATCAATAAAGTACGGCAGGTACACAAACGTTTACTTCTACTTAGTGCTTAAACAGGAAAAATTGTTTTTTAGGTAGTAAATTATTAGTCCAAAGGAAAAGATGAGTCGAGAGTCAATAAGATAAACGTATAGGAAGAGCTGAAAAATTACACGTTTTTTGAGCGCTTCTGTCCTGTATGTACATGGTGTTTAACTTTGGAGCTGATATCAGTTTTGCACAACGTCTATGGAAGAATTTCAATGATATTTTCGACAGAAGCTAGAACCGTAAAGTTAGAATCTGAATAGAAAATATAATTTCGGGTGGTAGCACTACAAATGTCTTATTTGTAAAGGCCGTTTGGATCTATGGCAAAGTGGCAATTAATAAGCTCAGACAATATTACGAAAATCTGTCATATCATAATAAGTTTATTCTCACAATATCACGAAAGTTTGTCTTGTGTCTTTTAAAAAACAAACTCAGCTGCAACTAACAGCAGTAAAAGGGCTGTATAGTATCAGTAAGCCTCGGTAGCCATTAGCGCTATTAATGAGCCAGTGTTCCTCGTAGCGCTTTTCTTTGAAGTCTGTCCTCAGTGCCTTCGATACGACGAGAAAATTTCCCTATCGAAGCTGTTGTGCAACTTCGAAATCATATGGGCTCCTATGAGCTTCTGAAGTAAACCTAGAAGGTAACTGAACGCAAGGGAAAAACACCGATTTCATTTGATCAGACGAACTCGATGCGTAGTTGATTAAGTCAGAGCTTTTTTTCTAGTAAGACGCTTTAAGATATGTAACAAATGGTTAGTTGCCTACGATTTCGAATCCGAGCTGACCGAACAACAATGAAGTAACGGCTGTCCAATAAAGAACCTTCTACTTTCTGCGAGTTTTCCCGTGCAGACAGCCTCAACAGGAGCCGAAGTATCAGACAAAAACTGAAGATTTTCAAACTGTATCAGACCCGAGATTATAGCTCTCTATGCCGCCGAGCTGGCTTCTTTCTCCTTGCAATTTCTATCATTTCGGATAGTTGCCGTCAATACCATTTTCTGTAAGCTTGCGGTGCTCTATTATGTAAGCAAGACAGGTCGACCGACCTCCAAGATGCCAGTGTATCGTAGCGCAAGAAGCAGTCGCTTTCCGGCAGTCTAGTCTGGGCCACCTAGACCTTTCTAAAGTAGGTTTGTGTTCCTGCTGCTGCTGACATGCGAATCGAGTCACATGAACGCCTTTCTTAGCGTCAAGATCTGCGTGAGTGAGTCTACCGGTAGACTTGTCCTGCTTACTTGTAGTTGAATGGC